GCGCTTGTTCTGCGGCGGCCCATGTCGTCGCACCCAACTCTTCGGATCCCAGCTCTCTCGGGGTCTGGGGGTCTGAAACGGGAACCGTTTCGAAGGTGTCCTGAGAAGCCTGACTGGATTTCCAAGTGCTTCCAGTTGCGGGCACTAATGAACTATACTCTTCAGCTGTTGTTTCCAGCTCTGCCACGGCCGGGTGCACCGTCGTCGATGCGACGTGCCAAGTGTCCAAGGGAGCCGATGCGAGTAGTGCGCTGCGACGGCGCACCTGTCCCATCCTCGCAGGAGAAGCAAGATCTCAGCGAGAACGCTCACAACATAGGCTTCCTGGGCCGCCTTGGCCTAGCCTGGCCTTCAACTCATGGAGTAAGGAAGGCTAAATGTAGGGTGTGTGGAGAAAGGGTGTGGAGACAGTGGCCTTCCACGAAGCCAGTAGAAGAGGTTTTGCAAAACTCTCTGTGCACAGTCTGTGCACTACCCTTCCGTTGGCCTCTGAACAAAGAGGAAAAAAACCGAAGCGGGTTGCTCCAACATCCCTGCAGCCCGAAGCACCAAGACCTGGCCAATGCCGAATACGTGATGCGCATGAAGGTGACGGTGTGGTCCACCACGTCACTGACGCCTGAGATGCAAGACTCTCCGTCCCTTTTGAGCTGCAACCCTTCTCATGACAAGCGGCCCCATATCACATTAGTTCGTTGAACGTTTGACGACTCCATCAATGGGACCCTTTTCATTCACGCTGCTTGGATTTTGCAACGAAACAAAGTCTCTGAGCAAAAATGTGCATGCAGTTGCTAGGCCCCGTGCGTGTTTGATTGAAACCGTTCGGTTGCAAAAGTTAAGCTCTCCGGCTGGCCACATCTCTCGTAAACGAATCGATACCACAACGACAAAAAAACAACGAAGCCCGAGGAAAAATCAATTATATATCAAACCAAGAGAGGAGAAAGCAAGCAGGAACAAAGCAAACCGGGGAGAATCAACATGGCAGCTCCGTAATTCTCTTATGTAATCCCTTGAAGGTGTCTGGTCTCCTCAGTCGTAAACAATATTCATGATGAAGTCATGCTCAAAGTCTCACAGAGTTCAGCATAGTTTTGCTACAAGTTCATACTTTAGGCATATCCCATCACCAGCAACAGTGTATCGTAATATGAATACTCAACACCCAAATCAAATCCCCCAACCAACCGATTCCTATAGTGGCTTTCTGGGACACACCCTCTTCATACAGAACTCAGCAACTCAGCACTTCACTCGGATGGTTCCTCTCTCGAAGAACGTAGGCGACCAGTGCTCGTCAAGGTGCTTTGTGAATCGCTCAGCGCCGACATACCAGAGATGAGGCGCTGCTGGCGCTTAGGGATGCCCAGCACCTGGAGAAAAGGCTCCCCCACTAAGCACGGGGATCGGTGTGTCGTTTTTTGAATTTGCAGGTGTCCTTCCCATGTTGCTATCATGAGTTCCGCGGAAGAAGTCCAGGAAGACTGATAACACTGCAACCTAGGACATGTACCAGGATGTTGATCCAATTTGACAGCTTAATCCGGCAGCTCCAAATTCTAGACTCCAAGTGGTCACCTGTGTTCCCAAGCGCACTCACAAGCTGGCCGCGAGAGCCGCCAGCCCCCCCATAATGTTGAGCAAAAACAAACATATATAAACCGACTATATATATAATGGAGAGAATTTTATACTTAAAATCATTCGTCTCCAACAAATCTTAAGTTGGACCGGCCGATTTGGGCGATGTGAGCTTTTCGTCAAACCAGCGCCACACGAGCGAGCGCACGCCACGAGCGCGTTGACCATTGGATGTTATTGGCTCCGTGAGCGTTGACCTTCGTAACTGTAATGCGTATCACGTCGTCCATGCGAGTCCATTCATTTGGATGGAGTTGCCGTCGTGGCCCAACTAATCCCAACTATCAACCAAGGGCAAATGGCTTATGCAAACCAAGAGGACTCTTGAATTGGCAGCTTGCAACGGGTGCAACAGCGAACAAGTTCAGTCTGCATTCCCCTCATGCACCAGGCTTAGCAAAAAATCAAATCGCACATATAATATATAAACAAATCAATGTGTTTGAGCATGTTCTGGAACATGCAACCATGCAACCTATATAGAGATATCATGAGATATCTAGAGATCAATCCACCTGGATATATAAGCAAATCCACCGATATAGCAAGCTCCCTCCAAGAGTGAGGGCCAGCTGCCCCTCTAACTTCAATCCAGCCAACCTTGGCCAAGGCCACTTTCAGGTCCGCAATTGTACCTTTGGGGTCAACACTGATGGTGCCTCAGTGCCGTGTCCGCGCCATGGCTGGTGAGGTTGGGCATTCAACGGGTTGAACTCTCAAGCCTAAGGGCTTCTGGCGATTTGTTGACATGTCTTTGCTTCTCAACTCCTTTGGCAAAGCTACACAGGGGTCCACTGAGGTTGTTCACTTCGATGGTAGTCATCCTCGCTCCAGCGTGCGTCGCCGCGCAGCAGCGACCTCAGCAAATGCTAAAGCCAGCCGCGCAGCTCAGCGCATGGGACGAGGAGCGGCATCACCGAAGCCATGAGCAGCGCCACTGCATTCGACATCATTCCAAAGGCCCGGGGAGAGTGCATCAACGATGGCTGCGGCTGACATGTCGCAGAATGAAAGCACCAAGTGCATTCCACACAAATGGCCCTGACGCATGCATGATACAAGTGTTTCTGCCCTCTGATTCCAAAGAGTATCATCAAAACATGGCTGGCCCACTGTGCGGTCGCTACCAGCCACTAGGAGATGGGTTGCCTGGCGGCAATGTGGAACCAATGATGTTGAACAGGAACACTAGGTCTGATAATTGATAAACGGTGCAATGACCAGGACCAAGAAAATAACGTGCACGCGCATATTTTACATATATAAAAACTTAACAAACAAGTCAACCATGTCCAGAATAGCAACAACCCCCAACAAAGCATTCACTAGAATGCTTATGGCCAAAACTATGGCTCCCAAATGCTCAGGACCTGGTCGGATGCCCGGCTTCATCCCCAACGACTGGCGAACGACATCCCCTTTTTTCCATCTCTTCGGACGCCGAACGCCGAAGCGCTACGAACACCGAGCGGTCGACCCCCAGCGACATCGGATGCGGTCGACCGCCGCCGATCCGATGGAGCGAACCGCGAGAAGCACACGCGCCTGTGGTGAGAAGCACACGTCCGTGGCCTCGGTGACGAACTATATGAAGAACTGGGGAAAGTGCCAGGTTCGGTGGATTTCGGTGGGAGTTTGGACCTGGCCACCGCCAGGTGGATGAGTTCGATTGTTGAAACCCCCATGTCTCTCACAAAATCCCCACTTTGGCTGGGCTTTGACAACTCCCAAACAGAGCGCTTCTTGATTTGTTTTGTTTGGAGGTCTGAAAACCAAATAAGTATTAAGGGATATTGAGGGACCATTGGTTCTTACAACTTGAGGCTGGGTCCTCCAACACCGTTGGTTGGTCAGCTTTTTCTAAAATAAACGGGGCTTGCACCCCCCACACGTTGAGACAAACCCGTTCTTTGGTTCTGATGATGCTGATAAGGCCTATGAGGGCTTGTTAGGAACCATCATGAGCATGCCAGAAAACCATAGAAAACCTGACATGTTCTATTGACGGTGTTTGGGCCGTCTCATGGAAACACAGCTTGGCTCATTGGCCGAACACCACCTGCAGTCAAGTTTTGCAGGTTTGATTTTGGTTCTAGACCAGAAGCAGTTTTGCAGTGTTGTGGTTCGATTTTGACTAGCTCCCGCAGTTCGACCGTCGGATGACATGCGGCTTATCGGTTACTAAATCGTCCCACCGACAAGCAAACAACGACACAACACATGTTAATCTGTCTCTCTGCTGCGAAGGGGGGCTAGTTCGGCATCGTTTTTCAATGGGGTGGGTGGACAAAAAAGGGTGGCCAGCCCACCTCCAGACGCCTGGCCAACCTCCACACTTCTTGAAGACTAAACTACAGTAAACGAATTCAGGTTCAAGAGCCCAAAAAAGCCTGAACATATCTGATCATGCTGGTCGGGTCTGCATTATTTGCTCTTGGCCACGTCTGCATTCCTCCCAAATTGCTCAGTTGGGCGCTAGATTGTGCCATGTGCGAGCAACAATGTCATTGACCCGACCCCCCCCACACAAAAAAAATAACTAAAAAACACAGAACACAAATAGTATACCCCAATTGAAAGGGTCCTGGGCATCGTAGATCTATTCATTGGAAACCTCTTCTGCATTCTTCTGCCTCTTCTTGCTATAATATGTGTCTCCCTTGGTAGGGGACCCCAACTAAGCAAAACATTGTTCAACGGTGAAAGTGTTTGTCAACCGAGGGGGGGGACTACAGGATAATACACCCCGAACAAAATATGTTGAACACTTATGTGAGCATATCGATGAATGCGCAATGCGAATACAATGTTTGACGACTACTGCATCCTGCTGCAAATGCTGGAACTCACTAACTCACTCCTTCGGTCACTAATGCTGGAACTCACTCAGCTTTCCCTGCTCTACCAAATCCTCCACAACATAATTAAGTATTGGCAATGACCTCATATATTATATCTTAAATAATCTTATATAAATACCGTGGTGGCGCTTCCGGACAAAAGCAAAGCGACCCCACCTTCCTGGTCCATCAGCGACACCTGGACACGGACTACCCCCAATCTGGGGCCAGCTGCTGCATAGCCCTCACAGGCCGACATCGCCATCTCCGGGCCTGGGACGCAAACCGAGAAACGTCCCAGGCCAACTCCATAGCCTGGGTGGTCTGACTACAATGATGCCCAAGGAAAATCGAAGGAATTTCATATAGAAGCAGGACAGTTGGCCCTCCAAAGCAAGGGGCTCAGCTAAGGTACTGTAGAATTCCCTGAAAGCACAAAGCACACGAAAACACGGTCAACAATTTAACCATGGCCCCCAACTCACCTAGAACATCCTATAACTATTTCCGGCATGTTTGTCAAGGCTGGAGGATGGGAAAAAAACACTTCCAGGTCTAAAGCTTCTGCGAAAGGACGCTGAGGCTTTTCAGCTCTCCAGTCCAAGAGAAACAATCGGCAGCGGGTAAAAGATGGTAAAACCGCTGGACTCCTCTGTACAAGCCCAGGGTCATTTCTTCAAGCCCGCATCTGTCGCAGCAATGGTTGTGTTCATCAAACTATTCATTTCTCTTGGTTTTGTTCTGTGGGACTTGCTCTCCCCACGGTATATCAAAGATTTTCCATTGACCAGGTTGTGCTGCGCCATTCCATTTGTGTTTCAATCATCCCACTGACTTCTACATCATCTTTGACGACCCAGCCAAACTCGCTTCAGGAGCTGAAACTCACAAACCAGTCACGGACCACTTGGTCGACCCACGGGATGAAGATCTGAGCGCGACCCAGTCCGCGGGTGGACATATTGGATGCTCCCTGTCCCCTGCTGACAAACACCAAAGGCATGTAGGGCCCGCACACAAGTGCGGATCTGGCAGGTTGGCACAAAAAAAACACTGAACGCGCGTGTTTATCCACGTTCACAAAGATGGTTTGCACCGTGTGTCCCGAATCCACCGTAGAGGCTAGGCTGCTAGGCTAGGCCATGTTTTGAAACACTCCTATGATCTCCCATGCTTGCAAGAAAGACATGGCCATGTTTTTTGTGAAAACAAATATGTGCCATGTGGCAAACGTGTCATGTCTACGCCTGCCCTACAGTCAGTGACCAGTTAGCAATGAGCGACCCATTTGTCAGGCAACCCCCACCAGCTCTTTCTAAAGCCACGTGATCCATAAGACCCTTCTCAGTCAGTAATCTATGAACATTCCACAAAAAAGAAGGGTTGGTTGACTGTTTGTGAAACCTCCGCCAGCTGCCGATCTGAAAAGCAGCCCAAGACCAGCCAAACACCCAAAACGGAGCCACCCGGGGCGCTCCACATGTTTCGTCGTGCTTCCCACCTCATTTAACCCCCAGTCCGCTCCACCGACGAGCCACGGCGTCGCCCATGAGGGGCCACGCTCCGACCTCCTTGCTGCCATCGACGTCCGAGCGTTGGGCCCCTCCGCAGGTGACCTCCTTCACCACGCCGCCGGAGACCTGGACCGTGGCGGCCGTGACCGGGGTTGACATGTGAATGGGCTTCCGGATCTCCGGGGCGACCGACGACTGAGATTCACATCGATTCAAACAAAACGTTATATATTATAATATATATTATAAATATACAATGACGTTCACACACCAAATTCAAAGGTCTGCACAAGTCATTTAATCGGAAAAGTGAAAAAAACGGTTTCTAGCCAAAGTTATGTCAAATGGGTCTGGAAGTCATGGTTTCAAGAAAGTGCCCGTGACCAGTATCGAGTCATGAAACATTCATGAAACAAAGAGCAACGACAAAAAACTAGAAACAGATCAACGCATGATGCTCTTTTCTTGTCGATGTTTCTTTGGTTTTAAAAAAAAACATTAAGCATAAAACATCATCAATAACACAACCAATAAAAAATAACAAACTGAAGCAAACACATGATGCCCCGCCGCTATTGCAGCCATTTCTCTAATGGTCTGCCATTTTGGATGTCAATTCTTGAAGATGGAGGCGAGTCATGTTTGGGAGGCGGGGCAGGACATTTTCAAAAATTATTTCCGGCCAGGAGTCCAATGTTGGCACTATCATCGCATCGGTGGGCTCTGCTGAAGGCAATAGTCTTACAAGTTTGCGGAATGAACCATCGTTTGATGAGTTTTCTCATCTGATGAAGTTGATGTGAAAAGTGTGCTGCCTCTATCAGGGTTTGTTCTTTGACATTTTGGTCGCATTTTAATGTTTTTGAAACAGCCTTGACATGATGTGACAGGAAACAGCTATCAAAGAACCTGTGACATGTGACTGTCAAAAGCCGCGAACCAAGTTCAGCAGAACACACGGACGTTTTGGACCTGCGTCTTTTTCGTGTTTTGCTGCACACGGGCTGTTGTATACAAAATGGCAAACATTGGCCCCCAATGCTGAATGTTATTTTATCACATTCTGATGCACGGGCACAGGTGATAATTTAGAGTCATTGTTGCTATAAGTTGACAAAACGATGAACAAGCGACCTGTTTTAAGTGGATTTCTTCGCACATTTGGCAAGCCTGCAGTCTTCCTGGGGACTTTGCTCGGAGTCAGGTCAATGGGAGAAAATGGGATTTGGACGGCAAGTTTGCAGGATATTGTTGGGTTTTCTCAGTCGATCTGTTTGCCTACGACTTTTTGTGTTTTGAAGGATGCATTATGTACTACCAAATTAAAGAACACATTGATTTCAATTGAGCATCAAGGGGGGGCCCCATGAAACCTGTTCTCTGACTTTCTGGTACCCATTCAAAAATAAGTCCTTTGTTTACAATTATTCAATAGTACAATTCAATGACTGACTTCATCACATAACATGACATAACACGTGTTATCTCAGTCGGTCTGTTTGCCTACTGTTTTTTGTGTTTTGAAGGCTGCAAAATTCATTACCAAATCTTACTAAAATGCACTGAGCAGCATCAAGCGTGGAACCTGGAATGGAATGGCGGAAGTGAGGCGAGGGGATAGGTGGCATAGGCGCCAAATTGGACTGGGGAGATAGGAAGCACAGTGGCCACTTGCTGAATTGGTGTCTACCTTTTGGGAGGGGTATGGTAACTGGATGCTGGGGATGCTGATTATGCAGCGCCCCACCCCTGCATAACTCGCATCTTTGTGACCACGAACCTGAGAAGCTGCAAAACGAAAGCCAGCGCTTCCCTTTCTCGACAACTGCGCATCGAAGCAATCAAATGAGCTCGCGCAGCCGCTTGCGGCCGCGTGTCAAATCTGCTTCATGTCTTGTTCTGCCCACACATAGGTAACCATGCAAAAGCCAAAAATGCACTCTTGCATCACCCGCTCCAAAATCACTAAAACATCACCTCCAAGAGTTTACGTATACCTTTCTCGGGCCACCCCCCCCGACCCCCGACCGACTTCACACATAGATAATTTCAGCCACATTCAGATGAAGCAAAAAGCCAAACAACGCACCAAAATTCGAGGTGGCCTGGGACCAGAGGCTCGCTGCCCGAAACTATATGTTCAGGCCACCTCAGAAATGAAGATGTGCGAAGCAAGGGTCCTGAGGTGTCTCTGTCACAAGGCTTTTGTTAAAACAGACAGTTTTTCAAGCTAAAGTCATGGTGGCCTGAGACCAGGGTTTGCTGCCCTAAAACACTCTGTTCAGGCCACCTTCAAAAGGAAGGTCTGCGAAGCGAGAGCAGAGGATGCACATTGTCCTTCTGCTGCTTGAATGTGGCCTTTTGTTTACTTAAAAGTTCAAGACCTCCCAGCTGTTTCCACCTCTTCGCTTCCCAGTCTTCCCAGGGTTCATATAGGGAGCCAGGCCATTTTCAGAATCTTCTGGATTTGAGCTGTTCGAGTTCCTATTGAAGGGTATAGTTGGCGAGTGCGTCACCACCCGCTCCAAAAGCATCAA